TGTTGTTTGATGCTGTGCTAGGTCCTATAGATAGAAAGTAATGTGCAGCTTGGTCTTTTTTTAAATATCTGTTGGGTTCAATGGAAATTGAGAGTGATTAGACCCTGAAGTGTGTTTTGCTGGTAAATACAAGTCTTCGTTTCTATAAAAAGTTACGCACTTTATAGGAAAAATTATTTATTATCTCATAAATACTATAGATGGCAATAGGGAAGGTTTATCCCTGCCTATGTTAGCAAATTGATTTTATAACTTTATTTAAAGTGTGTTGTTTTCTCCTTTCTTCCTTTGAAATAATTATTCATAATTCTGTCAGCCAGAGGGCTATATTTTGGTTTAGCCAGTGAATGGTTCCAGAACATTATTGGATTTATTAGTTAAAGGAGTCATATAAAGTATTTATAACAAATAATCAGTTTTGATGTTTTTAAAATATAAAGTCCTACAGAGCAAACTGCAGTTGTTGGGGATAATTAAAAAACCTAGAGCATTTGGCATTCTTATGAAAATAAGAATGTGTTTATAATGCTCTCATTATGTCAGGAAATGTTTCTGCTTTCTTTGGAGAGAATTTAGTAAATTATATGGATGATGAAAATATTTTTGCATATTTTCTTTGTAGAATGAATTTCTCATTTGTATCTTGGGTTTTAATGCCAAGTAGATGGTAGGAATGCACTCTGTCTTGGGTACTCAAAGTGAGACATCTTAGGGTCTTTTATTTTGGCAGGCCTAAAGAACAGAAAGTGGACAAAGGCAGGAGAGGCAACTAAAAGGGAAAGTGGGTTAGCTTTGGGAGTATAATTAGTCTGTCTGAGGCACCAGCTTGTTAATTCTATTTATTAAGCATTTATTGATTACCCACTATTGTTGGACACTATGCCAGGTCCTATAGATACCACCAAGTAGTGTATAGCTTGGTTTTTGTTCTGGAAATGTGGTAAAGAGATAATTATAAGACAAATACTGTAGTTACTAAAAATATTATGGTCTAGCAATATAAATATGCCTAAAATTATTTGGTATAGAGCATTGGCTGTGACTAAATCCCTGGTTCCTAGTTGAGCAAGGGATAAATTGTTCCATGCGGAAGAAGTAAAATGTAGGGTAAATTACAGAAATTATGAGGAGCTAGAAAAGAAGTCTGGGGCCAGAATTTGCAATGTATACTATGGTAAAGTGCTTGGCCTTTATCACATAGTTTAGCACAGTGCTTCTCAGACTGTGGTGTAAGATTAGGGAGATTATATATACACACACATATATTTTTAAACTTCCCAGGCCATCATGTACGAATAGTTTTATAAAATACAATAAAAATGAATTCTAGAAAAATGAAATAGACATATGAAATACAAGTCTTACATTTTTAAATTTAGATTGAACCAACATAAAATTATTCTAGATTATTGCTGTAAAATTTATAAACACTGAATTTCTGTACTTACCTCATCATGGATTAGGAGTAACAAATATTTCATGGCTGGTAATTCTCAGGCTTGCACTGGTCTCTGGGCCATCCTAGGTGATATGTAGTCACTGCAGATTTTTAAGCAAAGAATGGTATGATTATATATATGTTTAACACAATGACCTTTTTGGCAATATGAGTGATAGTTAGATTTCAGGACGGAAGGTTGGAAACCAAGAAACTTTGGAATCAGCATTTAAGAGAGAGCTGGAAATGGATGAGAAAGTGAAAGTGACTTTCTTTATTTTGATAATCAGGTAAGGAGTAATTCCTCCACTAGGCTATAAGCTTCTTGAGGGCAGGGGCTATATTTCTTTTGGCTACTAACATAACATAGGCACTTTCGGAAATATTTGGTGAATGAATGGGTCAGAGAGATAAAGGCAGAACCAGGAGACATTAGAGTGTTTAAAACTGGAATAAGAAGAGTTTCAGGCTAGAGAAGGTAATAAACAGAATCAAATGCTTTCAAATCAAGGAAGATGATCATTTATAAGTATTTATTAGATTTAGTAATTTGAAATTCCTTAGGGAGATCAGCTTTAGCAGCCTGATAAGGTTAGAAGCCAGATTGTAATGTCTTGCCCATCTCTATTATCCAGTAAGAGAATGAGTAGAGAGATCCTTTTAAATATGACACTTCATTAGTTAATGTTAATTAATTCATTGAGGAAGAAAAGTAGTGGTAAATAATCTTTACTACCTGTTAGTATTGAGAATCAGTAAGATTAATTATAGGTATGTTTGAACGTACTTCAGACAGTTTGTGGAAAAGTGGAATGAAAAGATAATATGAATCTTTCTGTAAACTTTTTGAAGTACCCTCTTATTCTTTCCCTCTGTTTCATCAGGGGAACTAAACCTTTATTAAATGGAATTGAAATTGATTTTTTTGTATTTGATCCTGATTTGAGAAGAAAATTGAAATGTGAATAATTTGGTTGGTCTTGTTTAAATTGATTTTTAATGAATTCATTCCCTATTATTTTTTATTGATTATTAGAACCTTTCCAGTAATATTCCATTTTCATTGTTGAATAAATTTTACTCTTATTCTGTACTGTGCCAGGTGTGCATTTGGCTAACAGTTTGTAGGATAAAAGATTATGGCTTGAAAATGTGTGGCATATAACTTCTTCTGAAGTGGAAAGAAGTTTTCCACTTCCAGAGAAGTGGAAAGCATTTGAGGGCTGTTTAATAGGAAGAACAGAAGTTGTGTGAAGTATCATTATAATTACTAATTTTGCAAGTTTGTTTTGTCATTTAGTTGCTTTATTTTTTATAATCAAGTTTTAGTAGGATCTTTAAATTTCAGTAATATCCATTAAACATGACATCTGTGCATAAGTGATGGGCATTGTCATGCAATGCCTGATGGACTATTGGTACTTTGTCATCTTTTAATATTGTCTAAATGAAAACTTTATTTGAAGTTTACTTCTGTGATGGCTTTTTTTAAAATAATAAACTTTGGGATTTTTCCCACCCTTTTCCTGAAAAAATTATAGTCATTTATAGTACAGTAAGTAATGAAAATCCAGGAGACTTAAGACATTCATAATAGTATGTGAAAACTTTAATCTTTTTAATGCTTTTTTTTTGTTATTAAATATAAGCATTCAACACTCTTCAGGATAATTTCAAATTACCTCTAAATTTTCCGTAGAATGAAGATCAGCAAGAAGTGATCCTTGTCAGAACAGATCAGTCTGGAAGAGTATGGCCTGTAAACACACCAGGAAAACCTCTGGAATCAAAAGGAGGAAGAAGGAAGAGACAGATGGTATGTTTAATATATGTGTTTGTTAATCCAGAATTCCTTTCTTCCTTGTGGGGATTTTGTTGCATCAGACTACAGAATATTTTCTGAAATGTAGCTTTCTAATACAGATGTTAGAAGGCAGTAAATTATGTTATTGCTTTTATTCTTAGTTTTATCCATTTGCCTTTTACAAAATGGGATCTCATTCAACTGCATTTTTTTAAATAATAGTGAATATTGAATGTCTAAGGCAATTTTAATTTTAGTGTACATTTCTTTGGTGGTGTTATTAGTTTCTTTTTACATACTTACCATAGCTCTTAGGGAAAACCTTGGTCTCTCAGACCTGTTACCTGTGTTAGACAGCTAATATGAGACCTGGTGATAGGGTATCCATACACAGTCATGTGTTAATTATGTAGGTGCTGTGATCCTTAATAATCCTAATTTTATTGTTCATTTTCTAGCTTTAGAAATTAGTTTTTAGCACTACCTTGAGGCTCTTGAGATGGCAAAAACAACATATTCAGTTTTCCCAAGTTAGGTTTACTGTTGTAAATATGAAAGATCATACAAGTGATAATTGGGTACACAAAAGAATTGCTCATTTGGAATTTTTCTTTCAGCTGTTTATTATTTGCCTGTTGAATGCCTATGCTGCTAGAAATACTAATTCATTAATTCAACAAATAGAAGTGGAATGGATACCTCTGCTAATGGGAGGAATTAGGGGGCTGGAGAGGAGGTGTGGCAGGAGAATAGCAAAGATTTGAATTATATGAAATGACAGAACTGACTTGGGATCCATAAATACATTGCCAGAAGGCATTGATTGCCCTTTTCGAGTTGTGTATTACTGAGCAATTTAGGTATAGGAATAAAGAAGGCAGACACATTCGTTCAGTATTGGGGTTTGCTCTTTGGGTATAATGAAGGGCCAGAGGGCCAGAAATGGGTGATTGAAGTCATGGAATGTGTGGGTTAAGCTAGTGAAGACAAGAGTAATAATGTTGGAAAAAGTAGAGGGACCCTGCTTCCAGAGATCTTAAAGAAGTTGAAGACCAGGTTTTTTTTTTTTTTTTTTTTTTTTTTTTGGATAAGGGGATATGAGAGCAGCACTGGGGAGATTTGATTTGGGAGGAAATAAATAGCACTTTTCTTTTCCACACCTGGGTATGGAACCAACTGAAAGGAAAACCCAGGACTGAATTAGATGGTGATCAGAATATCAGCCTTGTTTCTGAGAAAGCTGTTTATAAAACAAGGATTTGATAATTGGAAGTAGGTAGGTGTTTTTTGTTACTTACAAAGTATAGTATGTCTGTTTAAACACAGTATTAGTACTGGCTGTTAAGTTCTGATTTAGTAGTTATAAAATGGTACTTCATTGCTGTTTCAGCCAGCATTTAAAATAATTTGTGAGGTTGAATATTTTGCCATACGTACTAATTTTCTTTCATCTGCTACAAATTTTCTGCTTGTTTGCTTTCCTAATTTTTATCATATATAATCTTGCTCTTTGAAAATCGTCAGATATTAAATTTTTGTGAGAAAAAAAGAAAAAAGAAAAGTGGGTGTCTTGGTCAGTTCAATGGTTAGTTCAGGCTACTATAACAGAATAGCATTGACTGGGTGGCTAAAAAAACAGAAATTTATTTCTCATAGTCTGGGGAGTAGGAAGTCCAAGATCAGAGTGCTGGCAGAGTCAGTTTCTGGTGAGGGCATGCTTCCTGGATTGTAGATGGTGGTCTTCTCATTGTATCCTCATGTGGCAGAGAGAGAGAGAGAGCAAGCTCTCTCATATCTTTTTAGGGGCACTAATCCCATTTATGAGGGCTCCACCCTCATGACCAATTTACCTACCAAAGACCCCACCTCCTAATATATCACATTGGGATTTCAACATAAGAATTTTGGGGGGACATAAACATTAAGTCCATCGTAGTGGGTTTGCTAATACTTCTCTGTTTTTGATGTATGCGGGGGGCGCACCTGGGGTCCTCCCACAGACCCAGAAGGAGAAGGAGCCGACAGGATTACCCCTGGTGATGGGACCAAGGGATCTCAGGGAAAAGTGAGCCTGCTGCCCGCCAACCCAGCCTCTTGAAAGAGACACTCAGACGCCGCAAGGGTTCTGTCAGGGCAGTTCCACTTTATTGCCGTTACATTGCAATTTATATAAGCAAGCAAGTAGGGGCTTTCCATGAACTAACCAATCAATTAAAGGATTACGCAGGCATGCATTTTGTACTAACATGTTGAGCATAGCGATCACGCAGGGTTCACGAGTGCGGAAATACTGGAGGACCAATAAAAACCTTTTGGAGCTATCTTGGGTTATGTCTCTCCTACTTCTCGCGGGCGGGCGCCATCTTCATCCTCCACCCATAGGCACCATGTGGCTCACAGATAATGTTTGCTCCTAAAAATGGGCCCAACAGATGTACTTACTCCACCTCTGGATAACTGCAATCTTTCTTCTGCAGTGGTAAGGAATTTTAACCACAAGAAGAGCAGAAAAGAGAGAACAAGGGATAGAGCAGTTTTGCGCTTTCACCAAAACTCAGAAATCAGATAATGTCATGCTTCTATTTCTGGGGATGAGGAGAGTAAAAGGGCAGAAGAAGTAGGGAGTGTTATTCTAATGGAAGTTCTTTCACATGGAAGCACTAGAATAGGGATAAACTGGAAGGAGAGGTCTTGATACATAGTGTAATTTTTCCATTTAATAGCATGTTTATAGGTAATCCATTAAAAATACCTCAGGGCTGGCTAGTAAGCTCAGTTGGTTAGAGTGCAGTGTTACAACACCAAGGTCAAGGGTTTGGATCTCCTGTACCGTCCAGCTGCCAATAGAAAACAAACAAAAAAAACTTCAGAGACTCATATTTTCACTAAATTAATAATGTTTGTGTTGTCATAGGTTTCAACCCATGAGGAAAAAGAAAGGATCAGATACTTTCATGATGATGATAATGTAAGCCTGAATGATTTAGTCAAAAACGAAAAGATGGGAACAGCAGAAAACCAAAACAAACTTTTTATGAGAATGGCATCTAAGGTAAGATATATTCCTAGGATTCCTTTGAATTTTGGGAAGCTGGTTCTTTAATCTAACAATGATCTACTTTTCAGAGAGATTGGGTTCTCTCTAATCTTGGTTTACTTTATTAAATTTAATGCTTTGGAAGACATTTAAGGAACATGCATTTTGGAATTGATCTGATTTAGGAATATACATTTGGGATTTTGTTTGTTTTTAAGCATAGGCTCTGGTTTATTTCTTTACTGTGTTCTCTGAAGATATTACTTATATATTTCACCTACCATTTAAGAGAGAATTTTCGGCCAGAGGTTAATGATTGGCAGTGTGCTGCTAGTTAGGTTACCAATCTGTCTTGTCTTAATGGTCCTCTAATTCTTCGTAATTATGCCATGAAGAGATAGAAGAAAATATTTAGACTAATGTATTATGGATTATAGAGAATATATGTTGGAATGATTTTTAAGTCTATTCAAATGAAAATATAAATATGTAATATATATAATTCATGTATACATTATTTAAATCTTTATAGGTAGTGGGATGAATTTTTGTTTCAAATATCATTTTTGGTTCCAATCTCTGCCATTGTAATCCCTTCCAAACACTACTACTGAAATTTTTTTACAAAAGAGGCATTGTATTTAAACTTAGCTCTATAATAGGGTTTGGCTGACTGTGACTCCACGTAAAAAATTCAGCTCACTGCCTATATTTGCAAATAAAGTTTTATTGAAGCACAATTATGCACATGTGTTTACATATTGTCTAAGGCTGTTTTTGCTCTGTAACGGCCAAATTGAATAGTTGTGACAGACAGTGTATACTCCACAAGAATACATATATTTACTGTCTGCCTCTTTACAGAAAAAAATTGCCACCCCTTGCTCTATAATACCAGTGATTATTTTTGGTAGTTTGTGTTTGAACTGGGTATCTGAAGGACAGGAATGGGAGGGAGACCTTTCCTTGTATACCTTTTCAGACTTATTCTTTTTTATTTTATTTTATTTTTTTAACTATGTGAGTATATTACCTGGTCAAAAAATTAACTTAATGAAAATTAAGGTAACCAAGGTATCTTGTGTGTATATGTGTGTGTTGGTGGAGGGTGGGTAAAATACACTTGGATTTAAATAAAAATGGTCATTGTACCTGTCACTAAGAATTATATGAGATCTTACAACTTAGCTAATTAGAATAATTTTGCCTCTGTTTATTTGGGGGAAATGCTAGAAATTTTTTAGGGTCTGGAAATTTCTTAGGGCCTGAAAAAAGGAGGAGGACATATTTTTATGAGAGTTTCCTTCTCAGAAATGGTTCCACTTTATATGGAAGTCTAAATTAAATAACAATCTTAATAATCTAGTCATAGTTCATTCAAGTTTATACACAAGAGAAAAATTCTTGTTAAAAATTGTAATGGGCATTTATTAATTAAACAATTGTTTTTGAACACCTAATTTTTGCCAGCTATCATTGTAGGTGTTGGGTACAGAGAAGCAATCAAGTCAAAGTTTGTGCCCTCAAGGAGCTTTTATTTCTAGTGGATGAGACACGTAATGAACAAATACATAATATAAAATATATAACATAAATGATGTATTATAAAATAGAAAATATTTTTGTGGAAAATAAAGCAAAGTAGAAAGGAGATGGGATTATATTTTCAATGGAGGATTGAGGGAAGACCTCTTTGTGGAGGTGATGTTTCAGCAGACTCTGAACAAAATGAGGGAGTTGAGGAGAGCTGTGTGATTATATGGGGGAAGGATATTGCAATAGAAGAAACAGCAAATGCAGAGGATCTGAAGCAGAGACAGTCTTGAAGAACATCAAGAGACAGTAGGAAGACAGGCAGAGGGAGAAAGAGAAACAGAAGTAGAAGATGAGATGGGGGACACAGTAGGAGTCAGGTCACATAGAGTGTTACAGGCCATGGTGTGAGAACTTCTGCTTTTGTTTTACATGATGGAAGCCATTTGAAGGTTTTTAGTGGGGCCAAGTCATGATCTGGTTTATATTTTGACAGGATTTTTCTGGTTATTCTTTTGGAAGGTAATGTAGAGAGGCAACAATGGAAGCGGGGAGATGACTCAGGAGGGTATTCCTTTAGTTCAGATTAGAGTAGTAACACAGATGCGAAGTGTTAGGATTTGGAGCAATGCTGGTGCCATATATTGAAATGGGAAAAATTGGGAGGAACAAATTTTGTAAGGTGTGGAAGATCAAGAGTTTTGTTATGGAAATGTGAAGTATGAAATGCTCATTAGATATTTACATGGTGGTATGGGGTGACTGTCCCTGGAATTATGGGTGATGTTGGTTATTCCAAATAGATTTAGATGCTGTTAGCATTTAAATAGCAGTTAAAGCCATGGGATTTAAATTACTGATGAGGAGAGCCTGGAGACTGTGCCCTGGAGTGCTGTCTGGAAGAGGACAGAAAGTATTTAGTGTATGAGACTGGGAAGGTCAGCTAGTGAGATAGGAGGAAAACTGAGGGTATGTTGTTTCAGAAGCCAGAGAAGACAGGAAAGATTGTTAGCTGTTTCTGAGACACTGAGTAAGATGTTTGAGGTTGACTAAGATCTTTGAAGATGGGGAAATGACCATTGCATTCGGCAATGTGGAAGTTTCTGGTGACTGGTAAGTGTAGTTTTTGTGGTTTGGTAAGAAGAAAAGCCTAATTATATTGGGTTCAAGAGTGAACGTGAGAAGAGTTGGCCTTAGAAAGGAGCCAATTACTGCCCACCACTTCTAACAGTAGGAAAGGCAGAATTTCAGAATACAGATGCAGGTAGTTTTGTAAATTTGGTAGTAGAAAGATGAGCGAGTTTTCTTCTTATTGCTTCTGTTAGCTTATTAAAGAGACTAAGGTTGTCAGCTGAGAGTGATGATGGAGAAGGGGTGTTCAAGGTTTGAGAAGAAGGTGTGAAATGGTGTTTGGGAGAAACTGTGAGTGATACAATGTAGGCTTGCCAGGTGGTCCATCTGAGGTTTATGGTTATGTATTTTTCTTGTGCCACATTTTGACAGAGACCTGTTTCTTTGAATCATGATACAATGATAATGACTTGTTTCATATTTTTCATATTTCACCACCATTGCTTATTACTTTAATGGTACAAAGAATAGAGCATGTATATATAGGTTTTCTTTTGTTATTTGTATACTATGAAGTCTTGTACTAATACTTATATTGTATAGGATTGTTTTTAATATTAGCAGTACAGTTATGTGCTGTATAATGATGGGTCATATGTGATCATACTTGATGTAGCTTAAGTATACAGCGTTTATAAAGTCTATGATAGTGTACATTAATATCCTATACCTTTACATTCACTCACCACTCACTCAGAACAACTTTCAGTCCTGCAAGCTCCATTCATGGTAAGTGCCTTATATAGGTTT